GATTAATGTGATTAGGGTTATAAAGCGTGAAACCCCGCAACAGTGTTAACAGATTAATGCGATTAGGGTTATAAAGTGTGAAACCCCACAACTGTGTTAACAGATTAATGTGATTAGGGTTATAAAGTGTGAAACCCCGCAACTGTGTGATAAGTAGTTGTAGCCGTTACTTGTAGATTGTTCAATAAACCAATTAACGATCCCTACGGCGTATTCAGTAACGAAACACGTTACAATATGAAGAGCAAGAGGATCTGGTGCTGTGGGGTTCACCCACAGACTCAGACGATACAGCGCTGAATGATCAGATGACAGTGAAAAATGAACTGAAATGGATGTGAAAGGAAGCTGTCATGCAGTATCCTGGCATGTCTGGAGGGACTGAGGAAAGCCACAAACATCCAGTGACGACAATCAGTGTCCTGCTTGACATTCCTGCCAGCAATCCCCTCCCCAATATGAGTCAGAACTGTTACTTGTTCAGTGATGATGACAAATTTGTAGTTTGTTTACTAATAGTCAGTAGCTCAGGCAAGTGTATCACAGAACGGAACAATAACGGGTGAATAGTGAGTTGACAGGATTCAGAAGGTGACCATGCTCTAAATGAGGTACTATTGTTGCATCCACCTGGAAGGGCTGAGGAAAACCATGGAAGATCTCTCAATCAAGATGTGTCATGTTCCAACTGAGATTCAACCAGGCAGCTCCCAGATATGAATCAGAAATGTTACTGCTTGAGAGAGCTCACTCAGTTAACAGCGAGACGGGAAACAATGGCATCCCTAACCTCACCTGCTCACATATAAACAGGACAATGTCGTGCAGAGTCTTGAATAGGTCCGCAGCTTTCCCAGGCTTTCCCAGCTTCTTTCCTACATTTGGTTTCCTCTTCTGCAACCGTCCCTTCTCTGAGAGAAGTTTCATGATCCTGGCAATGTCCCTCCTCTGAGCTGCTAGAACTGATGAGTGAAGATACTTTGAAAGAGGGAACTTCCTTCCTGCAGCAGTAATTTTCTTAATAGCCTGGCATCCTCCATTCCTTACTTGAACCTTCTGCTTACCAACTTCCTTCAGAGCTGTCCTGTGTCTCGGAGACTGCGGTTTCACCGGGAGAGGTTTCTTAAACACATGATCATCATTCGGATGTGACTGCTTACTAGTTCCTGGCTGATCAAGTTGATCAGATTCTTCACTGTCCTCTATCTCTCTGTTTACAGACTTCTGCATTTTTTTGGAATGATGTTTTGTTTTCAGAGCACATTTTGGTACACTGGTTGAACTCAATTTACTGCACGAGTCCTGGAGGGATTCGTCAGACACACACTTCCCTGCTGCTTTCCTCCTATCTGCAACCTGATGACATTTCAAGCTCTGCCCAGCACACGTCACATTTGGCTGATCTGACATAGAGCTCGGTCCAGGCTCTGTAGTCAGATAAGTAAGATTCTGTGACATGGAGTCCTGACAAAATGGTTTGATTTTGGCATGTGAAACTGCCTTGCACCTTTCAAGATATTTCCTATAAACCACTAAGAGGTTTGGAGGTCTTCGTGAGACTTTAGAAGACTTTGGGTTATCAGGCTCAGACAAAGACGTTTCTTGCTCCAGGCCTACATTTACTCGCTCTGCTTCTAGCCTTGCCTTCTCACGTTTAGCTGCTCGGATGCTGGCCCTGGCTCTACTTATTGCTAGGTTTGTGAGTATTCTCTGCTCAACAATCTTCCTGACTTTATTTGACATGGGTGCAGGCTTCAGCCTAGACTGCTGCACAGTTTTGCAGGGTTCAAGCCACTTCCTGCAAACAGGGTTTCCTTGTGGAGGTTTCTTCTTTCTAAGTTTCTTTATAGTGACACACTTCTCACACTGGATCATGCCTGCACAAAAAAGAAAACCAAATTCAGTAACTACCCTGTATCTGTCATGCTACCATTACAATGAAATATCCTAGAGCCCCTCAGTATCGCTCACAACTCTACACTCACCCGACATGTACTGCGCAGCATATTGGGACACCAATGCTAGTGCGCCCATCAGCCCTAGCGCTCTGCGTGTCTCCACCCCTTGCTCATTCTTGTACCATGGGCTGAAACACAAGACATTCCAGTCTTTACATAAGAGCAATGACAAGAGGCTTCACATGTCAGCCTGCATATAAATATATTGTCACTTTCCCAGCACAGACCTAACAGAGAACACCCAAATGCCACAAAATTGACTCCGTACTCTTGCCAATAGCCACAGGTGTTAAGGCGATGTACAAGGGTTGTAATACAGGCTTTGAATGCAATTTGAATCTCATTCCCAAACTTTAACTGCACGAGTAAACTTTAATTTCTTAATTTGAGTTATATATTTTATGAAATTCCATATACTATACTGTCTGTCTAAAACATCTTTAAGGATACATCATACCCTGACTTGACAACCTTACAGAAGAAATGTCATGCATGTTTGTCATCTCCGGTATGGCAATTCTGGTTCTCACTGTATGTTGAATATACTATGACATGAAGCCTGAAGGCCAGAATAGTAGAGCATGAGAAGAAATCCATTGCTAGGCAACAGCTTAGTAAACCAGTTTCTGCAGCAACGGATACATAGCAACAATAGAGGAATTGTTGTGAACGATGTTTTCTGTTTGGTCCGTGCAAAGTGGTTATTAAAGAAGAGAGCCGAGGATTGGTAATGCTGTGAGGAGCTGAGCTCTGTAAGGGATGCCAAGAAGAGATGGCTATCCAGTTCAGTCGAGGGAATAGCTGGCAGGCAGTTCTGAACAAGATTTGGCAAAGGAGGGGCCTGAACATGGGAAACTGAAGAATCACCACTGATAGAAGCCGTTCCTAGGGAATGGCTGGTGAAGATACAGCAAGATGGAAAAAGCTTAGTGGGAGTTGTGGTGAACTGTAAAGTGTGGAGGTTAGTGGTAGCACTGTGACTGCCTGTAGTTCTGAGTGGTGTGTACAAGTAGTCAATAAATCCAATATCCAATCCATATCCCGTCTATAGTCACACATACCCGAAATAAGTGACAGTATAATCTAACAACTTACTGCTGTTGATAGTAATAACGCAATCCCAAAGATGCATTGAACACAGCATATACACTGTGACAGTGACAAGTAAAGGGATCATACTGTGGGTGAAGACTGGTCTGTTGTTATACATAAACTTGAGGTTTTCGCAGCAGTGAATATACACACTGCAATCTTCTGGGTTATGATACAGTGCAGTCTAGAAGAGTGGTACGAACATTTCGAAAGTTTTGCAATCCATAAGATGGTAGCACGAGCTTAAGTTTTGCTGTTATTTAAATCCTCTGTGTAATCCTGAGTCTGTACCTGGCAATCATGAGGCTAGGTTTGTCACCAAACAATGCTCCTGCAGCTTCTGACACCTTCAAATCATGCTCCTTTAGCTTATCTCTGTTCTCTGGAGGTTTGTGCAGTTCTAGAAGATCTCGCTGCTTAACTAGCATCAAATAACATTGCCGCACAACCTATAATCAGACAACATATACTTCATAGCACTATGGATGATTTATTTGAACTTCATATATGAATTATATAACAAGTAAAAGCAAAGTTGAAGAATGCTGTCTTCTGGGATGTGGCACGGTGTAGATATTGTGTATACTGACGTTTCAGAGGAACATATCGCCTCCATCTTCTGGATAGAAAAGTCCGTGAGCAAGGAACCAACGTGAGCAGGTGGCTGCAGACTGAGTCACCAGTCGAAAACACCCAGCTATATAAGAACAGGAAGAGAGAGAGGGGCTCACATGGGAAATCAACAGAGAGGAGACAGGAAGGGTGTGTGAAAACAGGCCAGCAGATAGCTGGTATAGGATCGTGTTGGGGGGGGGGGGGGNGGGGGGGGGGGGGGAAGGAGGCATATGTGGGAGTGGGGGTATAGCTCTATCCATTCTTAACCTCAGCATTAGGAGGAGGTGACTTGTTAGCTTCACATCACAGCAGCTTTATCCCAAAGGAATGAGCTTCTGGTAGATACTGGATGGGCCCCAGAGAGCCAGTGTGGTCATTGTGACGAGGAAGATGTCTGGCCCTGTTCGGAACTGAATCCCAGTTACTTGCCTCCCCTTACATAGCCAGTTTCTATACCAACTGAACGGACCAATATGAAACACAAACAGACTGACGATATTTTGGTATACAGCTATGCACAAAATTTATTTTAAGTTAATTATATGGGTTGAAAGATGACATATATATTCATATTATGCTCTTGAAGTAAAGAATGCACACAAAAATTAAACGGATCACTGCCCTAAAAATGTTCAAGCTTTTCACTCTGTGTGACACTGTATCGAGATTCTGAGGATTCAGTGTTACCTTCTGTATAAGCTGGTGTGCGCTGTCACTTCCTAGTGAGTCCATGAGTATCAACTTGCTGACCGAGGTATGTGTCACATTCACTGTAGATCCCCATGGGGTCAGGTTTTTGCCATATTCCCCTAAAACAGACATTCAGATTATCAGTTTCCAAAAACTGACAACACTGGATGTTATTTCTTCTGAAATCGGATTTTCATAGCTGCGGCTGCTGCAGCTGAAGCCACAGACGCTGCCGCAGCCACCCCTACACTTGACATACTGTAGGGGTTGCAAGGCAGAATATTTCCAGATGACATCTTTAACATTTTCTTTAGCTCACTTTTATCCTGGTAATTTTCTGCTGATGGTATTCCCTCTTTCAGCAAGTTCCTTTCACTTTATGACTATAGCAGAGCAACTATTTAATGCCCTAAATTTAGAGTGTTCCCTCATTAAACATTCAGTATCAATGATTCCAAGGCAACATTAACCTTTGTGTTAAATTTCCGTGTATAAAGATCTGTCTCATTTTCATGATGAAATCCACTGATTCCCCAAAAAATCTTAAATCGGGGTTTCAGGGTGCAGTGATAGAGACTGTACACTGTCCGAGGTATATTTTACATACACATTTCATAAACTGATCCTGTTTCCATGAGCAGGTGTAAGGGGGGAGAAGATCCTCTATGGACGGAGCCACTGATGATGTCTGACCAATATCCAGTGATCGTGACTAGCTCTTTCTAAGAGGCCCAGCTGCATAGCAGCCCCTCCACTCTCACACCCAATGACAGAAACAGATCTAAACATACCTAAAACAATGGACAGAGATGACTGTATCACTCAAAATAACAACTCAACCCCTATCACACATCTTTACAGAATCACAATGCTCTTTTAAATTTCTTGTATTCCAAAGTTTACTGTCATCTGTAACACGGCACTGTGTTAACCTGAGACATGATGCTGTGTTGTTTGGTAGATTCGGAGGAACCTGCTCCCCTAGTCGATATCCCTGAGAGTATTGAGGGGGGGGGGAGCAACAGGTTTCTCTGAAATGTTAGTACCAATTTACCAAACTGTATGACACTATATAATTACAGGCCACAACTAGCCATTCTACTCACCGGTTGGCACTGGTTCCTGCTTAATACCAAGACAGGAAATTGTTTCTGTGCCGCGCATTGGCTTCTCAAAGAGAGCTGGGGTTACCAACCTGGACAGCATGGGACCTGAAACAGTCAAAGTTTGACTGTTGGCAGCAGAGGGGAAACTAATTTACAGCAATGGACAATTAACAAGAAGTTATGATGCACATGTTCCTTGGGGTGTGCTACGATGTCCTCAAAGTTGTCATACATAACCTCAAAATATCACACTGGCACCGTACATTTCCCTCTGGCCACAGAGATCTCTATCCTCTATAAGAGAGGCCCAGAAACTTCTGTTACTGATGCACACCACCCTCACACAAACAAAGGTACTGATACAGGCTATCCAGAGACCTCAGATGTTACCTGCAAAGCAGGACAATGCTGAGATGATCTTGAGACCCCGCCAATTGTGCAGCTACTCAAGAATTTCCCAACATTATATGGAACCCAAAGGTTCGTTACCATGAGCACACGTGCCCTCCACCAGTCCCTATACTCACCCAGACCAATCCAGTCCATAATATAATATAATAATATTACCCTACAATGTATGGCTAAGTATTCCTAGTGGCCTCTTTCCTTCTGGTCTGGACAATGCCAATTGCTGTATTTAGATGCCTGCGTTAGGCCAGCATTTTGCAGTCAGAGTGGACTGCAGTTCGTAAACACTGCACGTCAACTGAATTTTGTAGCTCTCACGACTGCAACTTTATCTGTCAGTGAAGCAATGGATTTGAAAGAAGAAGCACTGCTGCTCCTCTGCTTGCGTAGAAGGAGGCGAAGGCGATTGAAACTTTGGAAAGTCTGGGTACATCCAATATTACAAACAGAACACAATGTATTTACAGAGCTTACACAATAAGAGGACAAATTTTTCAATTATTTTAGAATGTCATTTTCTTCCTCTGATATAAAACATATATTTGTTGCAGATGAAGCTTTCAGTTTGTCTGAAAACATGTTGCATCCTTATGGAGGCAAGAACCTTACTGTAAAAAAGAGAATTTTTAAATATCAGCTGTCACGAGCTATGAGATATAGCAATGTTCCTTTGGCAAATAAATGGCATATCTTTCATAAACACTTAATGTTTCAATTGATTTTATCATGGATGTTGTGAAAGCATGCTGCATTCTACACACTTTTGTGTGAAAAAGAGATGGCTGCAAGTTTGAAGACACTCTGTCCGTGGTAGGGTTCAAAGATCAATAGTGCCACCAAAATATGAGTCACCAGGGAGGACAATTATTAAATTATATCTGAGATACATTCTCTGACTACTTTGTGAGTGATGAAGGGAAGTTGGAGTGGCAATGTGATTATGTGTAAAAGAAATGAGAGATACAACAGTAATACATAGTAATGTTACCTACAGTCCATTCGCGGAGACGAGAGAGTCCTCGTAAACAAATGCACGCGGTGTCTCCGTCGCTCTTTGAATGAAATCATGCAGCGAACACATGATGCATGTATTGTTGCAGGGGTGTCCAAAGTTCACTCTTCAGTCTGAATGCAGGTTAACGTGTGTCCGAATGCAGTGAGCGCACTGAAGTAACTGCGCGCTTTGTCCACTCCTTGCTGTCAGATGTGGCAACTTGAGGCCTGCTTTGTTTACGCTGACTGTCTCGTCTCCATGAATGGACTATAGTACACGTAATCAAATACAAACTATGAAAGAGCTTACCTATTCCATTTTCTACCTGTTGCTCTTTTCAGTGAAATTCACTGAAAACTTTTCACAATTACTGCCCATGCACTGTTTTATTTAATGTGATTACTATATGACTCACTCTTGTAGTTACAGATGCATGGACAGTTCTTTAATTCACTAATAAATGCACCTGTATTGAAGGAACTGCGTTCTACTTCCATTGTGTCACTCTTACAGCTGAATACTGAGGATGAAGGCAGCAGAACAGCGCAGTCAAGGTCATGCAGTCCATGTAGTAGGAACAACCACACCTGAGCAGTCACTACCTCAGTGAGGATCCACTGAAAATGAACTGCAGCCATCAATCATGACTGCAAAATACACTTTCGTGTGGTGTTTATTAAAATTTCGATGGCGTCGGCTGAACTGTTGAGATGCGATTGCAAGTCAACTGCATGTGCAGTGCATTTCAACTGCAAAATGCCATCCGTGTATTCCTGCCCTTAGAGGGTTCAATACATGACCTACCTTCAGCAACATGAATCTCCAGCTTGACAGGCTTCAAGGAAGGGGCAGGAGCACGCGTCTGTGGGGCGGCAGTGGTGGAGGCACTTTCCGTCATTGGCAATCTGTGTGAGGCAGAATTTAGTAATAGTTAAAATACAGCTGGAATCTGAGATCCTCACAGTGGTGACTGTGAAAATATTTCCTTCTGGTATGCAATGCTTCTTGCTTGTTATTTGCTTGGCTTACTCCTTGACCTTGAAGATGGAGGCAGTATGTCCCTCCAAAATATTGGTTAAATACTACCATACAAAATTAATATACACCCCATGAGATAGTATTCTGTTAAAACATCAGTTTGGTTTCAATTGTGAGACAGTTCCTGTGTGTCCATCTATCAGAATGCAACAGCTTTAGAATCCTTGAACAGATTTTCATGAAATCTGATATTGTAGCCTCACTAAAATTTGTCAATAAATTCCAATTTTGAAGGAGGTCAAAGAAAAATAATGGACCCCTTTTATAAATATTCATAAAGCATCATACTTACATATATACAAGGATTAACACTTATCATTCTGTTGTTATGTATGTTCATAATCATGTTACAGTTAGTGTTGGTAGTAGTCATAAAAGAGGAACATGGGAGGCATGTTCAAGTCAACGTCTATCTTTGCCAGAGAAGTTCCTGTAGTACCCTTAGTAGGAGATGGCAGGTAGTGAACCTCTGTTTGGAAAGATTTTCCAGATTATGATATTAGGTTACAAAGTAGGCAATTAGTCATTCTTTGGAGGAATGCACTGCTTTCATCTTCAGGACAAATACCTCAAATCTCTACTTTTACTTACTTTTTGGGGAATTTTGGTGGGGTTTGAGAGGGCTGTGGCTCCACTAGCTTCACTTTGCTCTGTGACTCCAACAGGCGACATCTCTCTAGTGCACTACCAACCTCAAGAGTCTGAAACCACACGTCTGAATATGACTACCTCACAACATTTAATTCTGAGTTGTTAGTGCATTTCAGAGGATCATACTGGCCTTACCTTCATGGTCAAACAGTAAGCCAAGCAGGAAACCAGCATGAGGCAGGTGGCAAGAAAAGGTCTACTTGCTGCATGCTTCCAGCTGATTTCCTGAACCACAAAGGTAGAGGCAGTATGTTCCTTGAAAATGTCATGCTTTTTCTAAACTACACGGCGTTACAACACAGGAGACTACACTCTTCACAACTACTGCTGTGAGTTCTCAAACTGGATGAATATTCTAGCTTTTAGCCATAAACATGTATACGAACATTTGCCGCAACAAGGTAACAAAGCAGCCGGGTGCACAATCTACTTACCAGAACTCTGCTAACATGAATAAGAAACCATGAGATACACTTCTGCAATGAAACGAACAGATAAGGCATACAACACCCAGGAAGATGAGAACAAGGGTGTGGACATGAAAACAAGTACACAGAGAAATAGGAGACACAAAAAACAAGCAAGGAAATAAATAAAGAAATAAACTGTTCATTAAATTAAAAGAAGATGAACATAAGCATGATAAAAGAAGATATCAAATTGACACAAACAACTAAATAACATTAATCACATCTTCTGACAAGCACAATACCTGAGGAAAGCTATACTGATGCCTGACAACAGTTGTACTGACACTTGCAGCTAGTTTGTAGACAACTTTCACTCTGTCTCTCAAGTTCACTGGGGGCTAATGGGGTTCTGCCATGCAGGACCATATAACTAACAAGACATGATGCTAACCTTGAACTCAAGCTGTGTTTTTGTGTGCTCAAGTTCCTTCTGCAGCTCCTTCAGCTTGTCCCTCTGTTCCTGTGCCTGGGACTCCAGTTCCTGTGCCCTCATCAGCCGCTCCATCTCGACCTCAGCATTCTTGCTATTCAGCTGAGAGCGGAGAATGGACACCTGCCAAGGTAACATATATATTTTGACAGCAAGAGCCTTGAAATTCCACACACATACTGAGTTTTTGCTGAGACAAGGGGACAATGGATAGTGAAAGTGGACATGGGACTGCACTCACCTCGCCCTCCTTGGTGAGTGTGTGATCCTGCAGCTTCTGATAGGCTAATCTGAGCTGCTGTAACTCACGGACTAGCAAGTCTCTTCCATTCGCGTCAATGACTGAAAAACAAACATTATATCTGCGGGATAGTTTCATTTGGTTCTGCATGCCACAGAATTCTATGATTAAAAGCAATGGGCAATAGGAACAATAATTTACATGACCCACATAAAACTGGAAACATCAAGGGAGGAAGAGGAGGAGGCAGAACAAAAAGATGGAGGAGAAAGGGAGGGAAAAGAGTGACGATAATCAGACACAGAGTGTCTGCAGAACATGTTCAGCATTTCACAGCACTATATTTTCATAACCAGGATGCATCTGACACGCTGTCTACAATCATTTACTTACAGAGATGATCTCCATAAATCAGTGACATGTAATCAACACTGTCATAGCCAATTGAAAAATGAGCAATTTTGATTCTTTAGGGCGCAGCTGAAGGTGCTAGAATGTTAACATTCACCCAGGGCTGACCACCCAAGCACTAGCACATGCACATACAAATGGACAACAGTGTAAAAACCATTTTCTTTATTCAGGGGTGCTGAAAATGTGTAAATCTGTAAAAATTTCAAGATCAAAATTTTCACCATCATAACACTTTCTCATACACACTACACATGTGAGAACGTAACAGGAGAACAAACCTTTACAATTTGAATCAGCAAGTTTCACACATGCAAATCTTTTAGTGTTGCAGATATGAAGATGACAAACATATCCAAGTATTTGCGATGCCGTAGTTTCAACAGCAGCCATAATCCTGTGTTTCAACATTTCAGAGTCATGGGACATTAAACATGGGGACTTACAGAAGAGGGCTATATCTACAAATTCAATAATCTGCAAACTTTACACTTACAGCAGCTCAAACAAACTTGCTATATGGGGGAGGCGCACCATACTGCAGGAAATCTACAACTTCCTTCTCCAGTTGTGGGAAAATGAAATTTTAGGGCAAGATGTTGTGGCTCTGATATGTCATCTCATTACAAGGGATGTGCATGCAGAAGTGTGTTACAATAAACACTATCTGTGCGTGTCAGTTTAGCTTTAGCTTACTTCAGTTACATATTAAGAAGGGCCGCGCCATAGCTCAAGCGGTTAGTCACTGGCTTCCCACCGCGGCGGCCCGGATTCAACCCCGGGTCTGGTCAAGTGGGATTTGTGGTGGACAAAGTGGCGGTGGGGCAGGTTTTCTCCAAGTACTTCGGTTTCCCCTGCCAATCTTCATTCCACCAATTGCTCCACAATCACCCTCACCTATCATCTGGGGCTGGTACAATAGGCCAGAAGTGAATGCAGTAGAAGGGGCTTAGTCCCACCCCACTAGCATTAAAAAAATTACATATTAAGAAAATCAAATAGGCACTCTGTATAATTACCTGTGTTTACATTGTTCATTGAACTAAATGGAGAAGCCGATATCTGAACATTTCCTGGCAATGTTCTAGAGTTGAACGAAACAGCATTCTGTTGCACCATCTCCACCTGTTCCGTAGAGGACTGAGCATTTGTTGGCAAAATCGCAGCATGCTTTGATTTAGACATAACTGAAGGTCTCTTAACATCCTTTGGGAACACCTCTGGATGTCTTGAAGAGAGTGGTCCGTTTCTTGGAAACACATTTGAGGGTGCTGTTGTGGATGGACTTTTTTTGGGGCATGTTCCTGTCCATTTTGAGGTAGATGGAAAATTTCTGGTGAATGCTGAAGTTTGTTTTGGTTTAAGTGGCTGCGCTGCAGATGTTTGGAGGTCCTCGACTCCTGTCTGCACTGATGCAAGTTCCCCAGTCTGTGCCTCTTCTTTGGCTCTGGATGTTTCTTGGGTGCATGCCTTTCAATCGAAAAGAAAATGTCTGTTACACTGGGATGATATAATCAAGATGTCCACAACCTGTATCCCATACTTCAGCATCACAATACAATCAAATAACCAAGTAACCATTTGTGAGTCACTTGCATATTCCTGCACTCAACTGAATATGAACACTAACTCCATGGAACAGCTGTGCAGCTAATCAAGAAGTTTCCTGCCATTTATCGAACCCAAATATCATTAGTGTTCATAAGAGCCAGCCACAGTTCTCTATCCTCAGCCAAATCAATTACTCTTCCATTTGTTGAGATTCATTTTAATACTATCCTTCTGACTATTCCTAGGCTTTCAAAATGATCTCCTTCCTACAAGATATCTGACCAAAACTGTACAAGGGCTTCCCGTCTCTCCATGCTTCTCATTCTCCTTGAGGTGATCGTCCCAGCAAATTGTGAAGCTCCTCATTATGCCACTTTTCCAGCCTCCCACTACTGTCTGTGCTTTTAGACCTGGCCGTTCTCAGCAGAATGCACTCGGTATCTGAGTGAGCCCACTGTCTGAGATAGCGATTGGTTATAAAAGACCCTAGTTACACTACTCACCTTTCTGCCCCACAATGCACATGCAACCACTGCCCTGCTATTTCTGGACATAGCTCTCACAATCAACAAGAAAACTAGATTTAAAAACATGGTCTATGCTTCATCCTTCACATGTCCAATCATTTCCTTCGGCTACCTGTTCCCAAACAGCCTCACTATATGTACATTCCTGCCTCACAAGTTTCACTCTCTTCTGATCTGTGCTGATAATATGCATTTATTCAGATGTGAAGTGCAAAGATGGGGAAGAACTGCAAACATTGTGTGAGTGAATACAGCATTAGAAATTCATCTAGAGTAACTGAGGAGAACCACTAGATCTTGGCCATGAATCTCCCAGTTGCTTAACTTCATCAGGGGTACGAACCTGGGACAATGCCTGTGAAGCCAGGATGAAACACTCCTCCACAGTATTAGCATCGAGATCCTCTCCCCAGACATCATCATCAACTCTCGCTTGCCGGGACGTCGAGCCATCATCCAACCTTGGTTTCTTGGATGGAGGAAATGAACATTCTCGATATCTGTCTCGCAAGGAGCTTCTATGAGATCCAATCTGATGTATATTCTTAGAAACCTTATTGTTACTGAACATACTGTACTCATTCCTTTCATGCTGGGATGTCTGTTTGGGAAACAAAGCAAACACAACTTTATACTGGAATGTTTCGTGCCTACATATGAATGCTGCTCTCTTTCTGCTCCCTGATCATTTACTGGATACCTCACAAACATAAGTCTAGAGCAAAATGGGTGGAAAAAGCTGAACTGGATTTAATTCACCCAGGGCAGGGTCATACAGCATACATCCAGCATTAGAATCTGAGTCCTGTAGAAAAGACAACTGGCTACTTATATAATTAGCAACTGGCCAAGGAACACCATTTACCAGTGCTCAGAAAACCCACTTATCTGCTCATCTGTGATAAGTGAAATGTTAACGCTGATAAGATGAAAAACCTCTGAATTTACTAGTTAATATTCTTCCCCCCTGTCAATATATTCCTTCACAGATGTTGAACAGTAAATGATATCTTGTACACAAAATTGACTGGCCTAATGATAATACTCTACACTTGTATTTGGTAAGTGCTTGGTTTGAATCTTGCTCAGGACATCAACTGTCCTGACTGAGGTTATGTGCGGTTCCCCTCAGTCTCTCAGACAAATGTCTCACCACGCCCACTTCTTTGCATAAACTTTACAATTATTCATTCATCTACAATCCTAATATTAAATGATACATAGTCTAGCTCTGACAGTGTCATAAATTCTACTAAGAAAATACTGTATACACAATATATAACATAACATCATTTTATATGCCCTGTACATCATGTAATTGTCAACAGACTGGTGTGGAGCAACTGCAGCAGTATGGTTATGTGTGGTTTGCCTTGCAGGTAAATGTCTGGTATGTAGAACTTTCCTCTGTTTGGCAAACTAAATCAACATCTGTTCCCTCTCATTCTGTATCATGCAGTTATTTAACCATTACTCAGTATAATTACAAAGAAAATATTTCCCATTAATTCAGTACAGTTTATGTTTATTTAACTGTATGGCTCATAATGCAGCACCAAAGGCACATTTCCATGGTACCCCTGCAGCAAATAGAAAATTCTGTAAATGAACCTTTTATGTAACCTGTGTCTTCTGCGCAAAATCAATATTCTGTAGCAAAAAATACAGAATATTCGGCTTACAACATGCACCATGCATTGAATCGTGTATAAGCATCCATACAATGGGATTGGTACAGCCTCAAGATATGTGGCATGTCTCACAATCGTCAAGAACAGTCAAACTCCGGGAATCTCGCACACAATTGTACTGTGTTTGTAAAGTGTACATGTCTTCCATTGCTTTCTTCAATTGGGTTCAAAGAGGGTTGACCGGCAATAAATAAAAACTGTAACTTCTTAACCTACAAAAATTCTAAAACGCTTATTTCGAACTCTTACCTCAATATCGTAACATCGGAGGTAACAGCTAACACCAGAAGTCGTAAGAAAGGCCAATTCAACTTTAAACGTTTAAATTACGATGTACGGGCAAAATACTACCTGCTCTAAGTTAAATTTCCCACCATCACGCATATCCATTTGTCCAAATTTATCAGCGCGACTCACTGTACTACACGGGTTACTAAGTATAAATAATTCGACTGTAGCGAATTATGGTAGGAGTCAGTTACCTACAGAAGACTAGAATGACTTTATGCGACTTAAAAACACTGGTACAATATATTAGCTTTATTTAGTTCGAAAACTAAAGGTAACTATTTCTCAGCACCTCGATAAACACGATGCATGAAGAGTATCCAGAGAAAGTAATAGCAGCATTCTTATTCATATTGCGCTTCTTCCTGCGTTATGACGCTCTAATCTTAAACGTGCGTACATACTATTCGGTCAAACATGTTGCTTCACATCTTCAGGGCAGAACTGAACTGGAAGATGGAAGCAATATGTTCTACCGACCTAACAGGAGGCCACATCACATAAGATTACCTTTTCGGCAATCACAGTTTTCCTTTATTGCCCTCAGCATTTGTTAAGCATGACTCACAAGAAAGAATGTAATGAAGTAATGTAAAATGATTAATTTAAATCCTAGTTACCACGGTATAAGCAGCAATATGATGTAATGACTACAAATACTGTCCTGTACTTGAGCCAGGATAGATCCATCAGTACTGGGGACGGGGATAGATTCGTGACAGGGCAAGAGATTTTCTCTTCTCCACAGCCATGAGACTACCTGTGGGGCCCATCCAGCATCCTTTCCAGTGGATACTGTGAGATATTTTTCTGAGGCATGAGGCTGGTCACATCTCTATCTAGTGCCTAGGTCAAGAACAACCCCCCCCTCCATATGCCTACATTGTGAAAGGTAAAGTTGTCCCTGTTCTTAATTAATTAAGCACTACGCCATGAAAGCGTATGGGGAATGGGTGTATAGATCCACATTTTCTTGACCTCAGCACTAGCTGGAGGTCAGTGGTCAGTTTCACAAACAGGCTGCTTTACGCCAAGGGAAAGAACCCCCAGTATCCATTAGAGAGGAGGTTGGGTGGACCCCAGTGTTGGTATGGATGATGTGGAGAAGAGAAAATTCTTGCCCCTACCAGGACTTGAACTCTGAGCCCTCGGTTGTCCAGACTGTAGCCAGTCACTATGCCAACTATGCTATCCTAGCTCCCCTGCCATCACGGTGTGGTGCTTAAATAATTATGTACAGAGAAAACTTTAACTTCTCCTGTGCTTGAAGAGGTCCTGGGATGTTTAGAAAATTACTGTTCTGCCTGAGGTTTTTCTCAGTCCCTTCAAATACTGGAATGGATAGGCTACATCCTATGGTGCAGATGAGGACAGCTGATTCCTCCTAAACAATAATAATGATCTGCCAAACTGTACCATGCTATATGCCAGAGATACAATAGAAAAAGGAACAGATATATGTATCACACAGATCCTTGAGCAGGGTGCTGGAAAAGTCGGATTACGAGCATAATATATCTCATTCAACAACAACAGGTTACAAATGCTGCCAAGTGCAAATTATACCAAAATAGATTATATCACACTAACAGCAATTACATTGTAATTCTTCAGTATTTTTAGAAACTAGCTGAGTACATGCAAAATTGTATTGGGCTACTATAATGAAAATACATATATGATCAGACACCTGATTATAGTCAGTCAAACATTTCTTAGTAAAATAAATTCATCTACAGAGTGGAAGGTGTGAGTTGAAAAGAATTCCTTCAATGACATTTTGAATTGTTATTTGTTTGGAGACCTCATTTTTAGTGGAGGGCTGTTGTATAGTTTTATTCCACTGCAGTGACTCCTTGATGGACTGTAAGCTTTCTGGTGGGAACATGAAGACCACGCTTCTGTCTCGTATTGAGTGCGTGGACCTGCAGGTTTCCTCGTACTTACTTACTTACTCATGGAGCTGAGCCCTTCTGGAGGAGCTGCCAATTTTGCAGCTACTCAAGAATCTCCCAGCATTTTATGGAACCAGAAGGTCCATTACCGTGCTCACAAGAGCCCTCCACTGTTCCCTATCCTGACCCAGATCAATCCAATCCATTCTATCCTATCTCTCTAAGATCCATTTTAATATTGTTCACCCACCTACATCTTGATCTTCCCAGTGGTCTCTTTCCTTCTGGTTTTCCCACCAATATCCTATACGCATTTGTCTTCCCCATTCATGCTACATGCCCTGCCCACCTCATCCTCCTTGACTTGTTCATTCTAATTATACTTGGAGAAGAGTACAAGTTATGAAGCTCCTCACTGTGCAGTTTTCTCCAACCTCCTGCCACTTCACCTCTCTTCGGTCTAAATATTCTCAGCACCCTCAAGTCTATGTTCCTCCCTTAATGTCAGAGACCAAGTTTCACACCCATATAGAACCACAGGCAAAATTATAGTTTTGTATATTTTAATTTAAATGTTTTAGGACAGCAGACAAGAAGACAAAAAGGTTCTGGATTGAATGGTAGCAAGCATTACCCGAGTTAAATCTGCTCTTAATTTCCTCCTGAATCAAGTTTCAATCTGTTATCGTTGTTCCCAAATATCTGAACCGTTCCACATTTTCAAAACATCTGTTTCCTATATTTATGTCATGATTTTGCCCTGCATATTGGTGATGAGACAGCAACATATACTTAGTTTTCTCTGTGTATACTTCTAGACCAACCTCTTTACTTGCGTCAATTGAAGTTTGTGTGTTTTTCTTTATGGTATCTGTATTATCACTGAGTAGATCCAAATCGTCGGCATAGGGCAGCAGCTGATATGTCCCATTTAATTTCAGTCCCCCCTGGTTTCCCTGGACCTTTCTAATGGCATATTCTAAAGCAAAGTTGAAAAGGAGTGGCGATAAAGCATCTCCTTATTTTAGACCATTCTGGTTTCCTCGGACACAGTCATTAATTACAAATATTATAAAAGGTAATAAATATGCAGTGGCTAGAGGTAGAACATGGAACATCTTACAGAAAATTTTATGATTTTATTTTCTTCTAATCTGCATT